CAGTAGCGCAGACGAGACATCTAGCCTTTATTATGGATATACAGTATAAGGTAACACCAACTTGTTGCAATAACTCATGTTTTCATGTCAGAATGTTATTGTGCCGTTTTTGGGTTTCCTGCCTCTGTGGTAAATGAAAGTGCGTGACAGTAAGCAGGGATCTGAATAATCCGAATCTCTTACCGTCTCAAACTTCAGTGTTCTCAGATAGCGTGTCTTTGATCTTGAGCGGCTGTATTAGCGTGGCAGTCGCTTGCAGTTTTCGATTCGCTGAACATGACTTATCTCAGGACATGTATCACTGAACAGAACACCATCTAGCCATTTCATCTCATTTCAAACTGCAGTGTCATTATTACGGGAGACATGACGGGCTGCCAGGACTTAAATGGTTGCATTAAATGACTAAGTTGATATTTAATAGACTGGTCAATTGCCTGCCTATCTGAGCTGTTGAAAACGAATCATTTCTGGGCATTCTTTGCTGATTGTAGGACGAGGTCATTTTCCTGCCTAAAATCTTTGCTCTTTTTTTTTACTATATAGATTTCCTCAGGCCGAAGAGCTGTTTAATCTGAGATACAGTATCTGAGTTACAATACAATAGAAGTAATTTTGAAATTACATAAAGAGTATCTAAATCTAGAGTTGGCAATTGTTCTCATAAACACCTTTTGTTATACTGGTTGAACATCAGTCTAAATATTAAGAAATGTACATACACTCACCTAAAGGATTATTACACTTGTTCAATTTCTCATGAATGCAATTATCTAATCAACCAATCACATAGCAGTTTCTTCAATGCATTTAGGGGTGTGGTCCTGGTCAAGACAATCTCCTGAACTCCAAACTGAATGTCAGAATGGGAAAGAAAGGGGATTTAAGCAATTTTGAGCGTGGCATGGTTGTTGGTGTCTGAGTATTTCACAATCTGCTCAGTTACTGGGATTTTCACACACAACCATTTCTAGGGTTTACAAAGAATGGTGTGAAAAGGGAAAAACATCCAGTATGCGGCAGTCCTGTGGGCGAAAATGCTTTGTTGATGCGAGAGGTCAGAGGAGAATGGGCCGACTGATTCAAGCTGATAGAAGAGCAACTTTGACTGAAATAACCACTCGTTACAACCGAGGTATGCAGCAAAGCATTTGTGAAGCCACAACACACACAACCTTGAGGCGGATGGGCTACAACAGCAGAAGACCCCACTGTGTACCACTCATCTCCACTACAAGGAAAAAGAGGGTTCAATTTGCAAGAGCTCACCAAAATTGGACAGTTGAAGACTGGAAAAATGTTGCCTGGTCTGATGAGTCTCGATTTCTGTTGAGACATTCAGATGGTAGAGACAGAATTTGGCGTAAACAGAATGAGCACATGGATCCATCATGCCTTGTTCCCACTGTGCAGGCTGGTGGTGGTGGTGTAATGGTGTGGGGGATGTTTTCTTGGCACATTTGAGGCCCCTTAGTGCCAATTGGGCATCGTTTAAATGCCACGGCCTACCTGAGCATTGTTTCTGACCATGTCCATCCCTTTATGGCCACCATGTCCCCATCCTCTGATGGCTACTTCCAGCAGGATAATGCACCATGTCACAAAGCTCGAATCATTTCAAATTGGTTTCTTGAACATGTCAATGAGTTGACTGTACTAAAATGGCCCCCACAGTCACCAGATCTCAACCCAATAGAGCATCTTTGGGATGTGGTGGAACGGGAGCTTCGTGCCCTGGATGTTCATCCCACAAATCTCCATCAACTGCAAGATGCTATCCTATCAATATGGGCCAACATTTCTAAAGAATGCTTTCAGCACCTTGTTGAATCAATGCCATGTAGAATTAAGGCAGTTCTGAAGGTGAAAGGGGGTCAAACACAGTATTAGTATGGTGTTCCTAATAATCCTTTAGCTGAGTGTATATATAATGTCGAAGTTTTGAGTTCTGAAACTTACAGGATATTTTTTATAGTACAAATGATTTGTTTTTGGTAAATTTGAAGCTCAACAGTTTCCATACTCATTCTCAGCTCAGACATTCTGCTATTTTTTTCTCTTTTGGATGGTAGAAAGACTTATGGATTTGTACGTTATTATTCAATGCTGATAATTTTTTAGTTGTCACAATACTATGCCTATACAATGTATTTAACCCACAATATTACTTTAAAGTGGTTCACTGTTCATTTTTGACATATTTTACAAGATTATTGATAGATCTACTCTCTAATAAAATTTCCAGACACAAACTTTAGTGTCCAGTTATTCTGATACACCAAACAAAATCTCTCTCCTTTCCTGGAACTTTTTCTCGTAAAAGTCCACAAAGTTTGAAACACAGCAACTACGAAGAGCCAGGAGTGAACTTGTGTTCGAGTTCAGCCATTACAAACTCATCTCTGAAGGGAAAACATTCAATACTAAACTTCTTTCCACAAACAGCTCCTGACCTTAAACTGACAAATCAATCCATTTCGATCAATATATTAGCATGATTCATCACTTTAGTCAATGGTATTGGGCAAATGCAATAATAAATAAAGGTCAGAGATGCTGAGTCGAGCGTTTGTGTTGTGAATGATGTGGAAATGCTGGAGTCAGTCAGGTATAGTTATGGATTACATCCCACCAGAGGTAGCCATGTGACTGACGGTTGTGTCTGGGCAAGCAGGGATCCGGAGGAGTGAGTGTCCCAAAGGAGGAGTGTCCCAGTTAGTACATCAACCAGTCTGAGCTTCAATGGTGCTCTCACGACATGATGAATAATGCCTCTCCTCACTGGGCTTTCCTCAAGAGAAAGGCAAGCACTGTATGGCTCATATTGAGGATAAATGATCTGAAGTCCAGTGAACAAAAACACAGATGAAACTATACCATAAACTAGAGACTTGAAGGGGGACCTGATCGATAAGTCCGGCTCAATGCAGACCCTTACACAAATGAGCACACTTCAAGTTTATAGAATACTTAAGTAAAGTTCAAGTATATTTTAAGTACTTTATGTAGTAAATGAACTCGTACTGGTAGTATACTTGTCAAGATTGCCATTTCAATATTTCTTGGTAGTAAATTGGCCCACTTTTTAGTGTGTAAAAGTATACTTTTAAGTTTACTTTAAGTAGTACACAAGTAGTTAGCAAATGTTTTTGTTTGTACTGAAACTATACTAAAAGTGAACTTATAGGTATACTATAGTTTACTAGTTAAATACTTGAAGCACATTATTTTTTTTTTGTTTTATGAAAGTACACTTTCTGAAATATAGGCTAGTTTAGTTGTATACTTTGTACTTAAAACATCGTAGGTCACTATTTATATATTATTTTTTAACTTAAATTGTTCAATTCATTATTCCTATTTAGGTATTATTATTTTTTATACTTGAAATATTCCTTTAACACTTTATTTCCCTGCCAGTGTTTTTATTTATTTTTTATTCTTTTTTTATTTACCAGAATATTTTGTTGCATTAATGCCTGAACATACAATATATCTAAAGAAGCAACAGAGTCTCTGCTTTTAAACAATAAAAATATGCATTGTTTTGTTTTATGTTATTTTTTGTTTTTTATCAACACTTGAATGTGGGTAAGTACTGTAAGTGGGTGAGCTAACCCTAACATGAAAACGTTTTAAAGAAAAAGCTGAGAAAATTGTTGTTGTTTTTTTTTGTCAAAGACTACGTCCAGATCAGATTCAGAACATTGATCAGAGCACTCTTAGAAAAAAGGGTTCATTGGGGTTCTATATATGAAGCATAGGGTTCTTTACTCAACTCCAAAGAACCTTTTTGTGCTAAAAAAAAAAGGTTCTACAGTATAATGACAAGAAAGAACCCTTTTGGCACAAAGGTTCTTTATAGGCTATTATTCATTCATTTATTATTCTGCAACATTTTGTAGTTGTTATTAAATGATTGTTTATTAAACTTAATATCACATTTTAATCTTGCTGATTTTTGGAGGAGAAAAACTAAAATGGCACTCTTCTTTTGATATTGATTAACTATAAAATAATATAAATATATACATTTTCTAACCCCCATATCTTGCATTTTGTGATGATTCACATCCATGTTTATCAATAATATAAAATATTTAATCCGGAAAGGACAAAACAAATGTTAATGAATGAACCCAAAAGTTTCATATAGAACCTTTTTCCTGTTTAGAACCTTAAAGGGTTCTTATTATTGAATCCTTAAAAAGTCTTCTGTATAGAACCTTTTAGGGGTTCCAAATACATAGCGCTGATAGAACCTTTTAAGGGTTTATACAGAACCTTTTCTTCTAAGAGTGCAAATGCAGTTCATCAACAGGCCAATCCCTCTTTAATAAAAAGTACATAAAAGGCAGACTGTAAATATTAGCATTGGCTCTGCAGTAAACCTTCTCTATGGGATCACTCATAATATAAATGTCCGCAAAGGAACCACAAAACTGATTTACATTTTACACAGAAATTTGACACGTCACAAAAGAATGGCTTTATGATTTACACAGACATTTTACGAACAATTTACAAAAATATTCTCCAAATCGATCGGAAATTTAGCAGTTGTAAAGAATTAACAGACAAATTCAACAGAAATTGGACAGTTTATTGAAATGAAATTAATTGGACAGTTTATGTCCATGCACGAACGTTTCTGTGAATATATACAAAGTTCATGAATATTTAATGAGGCAAGCATTGAGGGCGTTTATGATTGGTCGTGTGTTGTGAAACATGGTCATATATAGTCGGTGCATCGTTTCTCAGACTGGATCTACTCGCTTCTACTCGGTTCAAAAGATGTTAACCCTAATTCCTCATGACAAGTGTGAAATGTTGCTTAACGCCGCAATTAAAAAGATGTTAAATCAGTGTTAAAAACGTCTCTTTATTTATTGGCTAATACATTTAAATCATGTGTAAAATAGCAAATTGAGGTAGACACTGGGAAGGCTTATTAAATTCAGTTCAATTAATCGACGTTGGACAAGAGATGAGAAAATCATATGACGATGAAAATGATGAAGATGATGATGTTATGTTGAAGCAGTGTTCACATGGTGCACCCCACCCTCCCTCTGCTTTCCGACAGAAGACAAGGGGGCATCGCCTCTCTCTGACACCCCAGCCGAAACACGCGCATCAGGGGGCGTGTATGTGTGTGTGGAGCGTCGCGTTGAAGATGCGCGCACATTGGAGACGTCCAGCGCGTCCATGAGGAAAGGATGGAGACATGGCAAGCGCAATTCTCCATATCTTGACGCCAGTGAATTAAAACGCTTATGTTTAATTCCCACGAGCTTTAAAGCCACCGGATCCTTTCTTTAATAGAAGCGTGGTGAGTAAAAACCGCTTGATTTCATTCATTTGATGCGCAATGTGGAAACGCATTTGCGCTGGCGATATTTGCAGGAGGAGAAAAAGAAATATGACGCGTGCATGTGCGTTTTTTGCGCAACAGTGTTTAAAAGCGTATAGTGAAATGCCGCAATTATTTTTAGCAAGTTTTTGCAGCTGCGTGCAAAAATTGTAATTCGAGTATTTGCACGAAATTGCATGCAAATAAATATAAAATCATAATACGAGCATGCATGAGTGATCGTTTGGGGAGGAAATAAATAGAGTAGGCTAATATATTTTATTTACACTTCCTATAGGCTAGCTATTTATATTTTCTTTACTTCTTTCTTTACTGTTTTATTTACTGTTGATTTTAACAATGATAAAAGCATATTATTTATCATAAGTCAGGAGATTTATTACATAAATCAGAGAGAAAGGTTCAAAGGCGGTCAGACCAGCAATAAATCATCCTTTCTTTCCTCAACATGATCATTCCTGTCTGCAGTCTCACGATGTGCCACGGGGACGATATACCTTATGATAACGAATAGCTGTACCATATAATATGTCATTTTTACGAGTTATGAGGTAAGAGCATAATAGGTGGGCTCTCATCAGCAGGATATTGTTGATGTTGTTGCCCCCTGGTGGGGCTTTTGCTTGTTGGCAATGTTATTTCCTTTCAATCGGGTGAAAAAATATGTGTGATGCACAGAACTAAATCCATAATCATATATCGTGTTTTGTATTTTACGTGTAAAATCATATTTCAGCATTTGGTCTATTTAATAGCCTAATGCTAAAATTATATTTGAGGTTGAAAATCCATCTATCTATTTCCTTCCCTGTTATATAATTTCGTCCCATCACATTGAATCAAATTCTGCTTATCTGAGCAGGCGCTACTGCACTTAAATATAGAAATAGCTTTACACACGGGGCAGAAAGAGAGAGAGAGAGAGAGAAGCAGAGAGAAAGGAGACCATTGAAGCAACGAGTTATGAATTATGTAAAATTCTCTTCTGCATTTCTGTGAAACCACATTGCAAGCTTGACACACATCCATTTACATTGTGCTGATCTTAGTATGTTATAGTTTTGACAAAAATGATAATTCATCACATTATGTCATTCCAAACCCATATGCTGTTGTTTGTTTCCAACAAAAAAAGGAATTTAAAATTATCTTTATGCAGATTTTTTCCCCATTATGACCATGTTTGTCAAGCTTCAAAAAAAGGCAAAATCACCATAAAAGTAGATATGTGCAATATTCCAAATCTTATGATACACTTGTGAGGAACAGGTCAAAGTGTATCTTTCAGTGGATTGTTAACCTGTAAGCTTCTGTGAATGGATTATTGAGTCAATTAAATTTCAGGTCTTATTGACAGTGTGAACAGATCATGAGAATCAAACGAGTTATTTTCAGTGAACCACTAGATTCTGAGCACTGAACAAAACGGATTCAGATTCAACTCACCGATTCAGTGATTTGGTCATAGGGGTTCATACCTGTTACTTTTGAATGTTCTCCAAACGTTCATTTCTTTTCTGTTCTTCTCACAAAAATATTGAATGGTTTTGAAAAACTTGCATACAGTGCAAATGTAACATGGTCTGCTTTTAAGGTGCTTTTATGTTTACTTTTGACCTTAAATTGACCTCGCAACCTGTTAAGTGTCACCCCCTTTTTGAATATACATAAAAATGCACATTTCGAACTTAAATGTTTGTAATTCAAGAATGCTTTGGAATATTGAAGTGAGATTGGTCTTGTTTTAAAGACATTTGGCAGAAGTGAAATAAATTAAGGAAGTGAAACAGAAAAAAAAGTTTGAGTTTATGGAAATGTAGGCTACAATGTAAAAAAATAATAATCATATTTTATATAAAATATATATTTTCAAAACCTGGGCTACTCTAAAACTTAAGAAAAATCAAAGGCAAAAATCTGAACAAGTTGTGTTTCAAATTTTAGGTTGATATGATATCTCTAAAAATGAGCTTTCAGTGAGATTTTGTTTGGGCACAGTACCGAATGCTTCCACTAGGGCACAACCAGACTCCATTACTCCCCATATAAGAGCGCCTCCATTTCCATATGTGTTTTGAGTGATATGAACCATTATTTACACAATTTCATACAATTTATGAAGTAGAAATCCTATTCAAATAGTATGGGAAGTTTGGCAGATTTTGTTATGAATTCAACCTCTAAGAAACATAAAAAGAACACACATGTGCATCATAGCTCGCTGACACATCACAAAGGCTGAATTTATTTTTCAGACCTTTTATTCTAAAATAATTGAATGGATGCTATCTTTTGAACTCTTGGCATGAAAACAAACTGAGGTTTCAACCATTGCTATTTCAAAATAAAAGTCTGAACACGCCTTGGGAATATGAAAATATTCTTGTTGAAAATGGATAAATGCTCCTTTGTATATTACGGCTAGTCTATAAAAACTAGAGATTGTAAGCTTTCAAATGATATATAGTTTGTCAATATTACTAAGATATTATTAGGTTTTTATTACTAAGATATTATTAGGTTATATTATTAGGTTTTTACTAAGATATTATTGTTTTAAATATATAATGGCAATCGTCCCACCTGTGGGATGGTGACAGTTGGTTAAACAAGATGTTTTGACTCCGGTGATGTTTGTATTCTGTAACGCTGTAATCTGCTGTCAGGCCAGTAGTTGGCGATCTCACTTTGTAAAGAAACACATAAGGCTAATACGAATGCGCATGTCACTGTTTTTATAACAAATTTGCATTTTTGTAGATTAGTTGTCAATTCCAAAGTAAAGAGAGATGTAGTAGTCCATTTGTGAGAATAGCCTACAACCGCAGGGATTGCTTTCTCAAAATCAACAGTTGATAAAAAAGGTTTAGTTTTGAAAAAACATGTGTCTGCACCATCAATTAAAGGGGTGGTATAATTCCCTTTTCACAAGATGTCAAATAAATCTCTTATGTCCCCAGTGTGTGTGTGTGTGTGTGTGTGTGTGTGTGAAGTTTTAGCTCAAAATACCCTACAGATATTTTTATTGCATGTTAAAGTTGTCACTTTTTGTGGGTTAGCAAAAACGCACCGTTTTTTGTCTGGCCCTTTAAATGCAAATGAGCTGCAGCTACCGAGTGTTTTAGCAGCTCCGATTACCTCAGGTCAGACACACGCTAAACTTTTCTGCCTTTTATGTTTAAACGGAGTAGATGGAGAGACTAACAAGTGACAACATGTAGAATGCAACAGGACGTCTCTGAATGGTTAGTTGATGAATTTATGTTGCTGATGTGGAGTTAACTATCTTCAATTAGCATATTCTGTCAGGATAATCCCAAATCACATGTCAAATCAATCATAAATAGCTTGTATAGGAACTGTTGTGAGATGCACACAGTGATTTTCTATTGCATGTGAAAAGACGGTTGCTACAGTTAGAGCTGCTGGACTACAACTGCTTTTCCTCTTCTCAACATGGACTGTGGGGGCGGGGTTAATGTAAATTTTAGGGTTAGTGTGATGTCACTAACTCGGGAGGAAGCTCGTTTAGTCCCTATCAGCCATTTGTTGTAGTCCTTAAAAACGATTTCTTTAAAAGCAAATATCTCCCTTTGCTTTTAACTTTGAGCGTTGTAACTTTGCAGATGTTGTTTATGCTCAAACAGCAACATTACACACTAGCTAAAGTTTTAAAAGTGAAATCATAATCAACCACCCCTTTAAAGGTGCAGTCTGTAAGAATGAAATAGTGGTCGAAATAGGTACTGCAGTCCAAATTCAAAAAACCGGAGATTTTTTCTCACCCATTTCTCAGACTGGATGTCGCTCACACGGGTTGCCAGTTTAAGAACACACAACACCAACGAGCACAATGGACAATGACTACGTTTACATGCAGCCAATTTTTTGGTTATGGTTGGGTTAAGGTCACTATTCGGGTTTCTGAAACATTAGGAATAACCCATTTACATGCGTAAGCAGAGAGAGTTTCTCCTGTATACATGGAATTGCAATATCCCGATGTAAACGGCGACACGCAGTTAGCGTCTAGACGTACGGACAACCTTAAGAAGCAATATGCGTCATTTCCGATTCTTCTTCCTGTACCCAAAGACAACAACAACAGCAGCAGCACGCGGATAATGAATAGTTCGGGGCAGATAGCGATCGCCTTTGTTTGCGCCTTGATGCTGTTAACGTTACTGACCTTGCTCCAAAAGTATGCTGTGCCAGACTGATCTCATGAAGTAGCGTGTGTATGACACACCAATTCGTATTTCCATTTTTGGTGTGCTATCAAGACGCATAATCGCTTTTCAGCGTGTTTATGAACGCCGTTGAGTTAACGTTATTACTGTATATATAAATATATGACTTACCTCAACCCCGTCCCTAAACCTAACCGTCACTGGGGTTAATGGCATTTATGACTGGACATTTGACGGCGTGTACAGACACGCGGAATCACTCGGACGTTAATGGCGTAGACATACACGCGGATAGCTCAAAATGCGTAGAGATAACACGCCACTTGACTCGAAAGTGGCGTGTATGTTTACGCAAAAGTCATGATGTCATGCTGGCTGTGCTGTGTCTCGCCATGTTTACTTCCGGTATACTTGACGCGAGAAGTTTCTCTAAAAGACCAAGATTCCTTGCGAATAGAACATGCGCAGAACGCAAATCACTATGGGGATATGTCGATACGCGTTTACATGTCCAAAAATTCGGGTTAAAAAAAGGGTTACCACAGGTATATTATCCTGGTTTTTAAAATCCGGGATATTAGCATTTTCGGGTTTTTCCCGGTGATTGCCCGTTCGCAACCGGGTTATTGCTAATATCCCGGTTTTGAACAGGTTATTGGCTGCATGTAAACAACATGACATCATGACTTTTCCGTAAACATATACGCCACTTTCGAGTCAGGTGGCGTGTTATCTCTACGCATTTTGAGCTATCCGCGTGTATCCGCGTGTATGCGTATTTGTCTACACCATTAACGTCCGCGTCATTCCGCGTGTCTGTACACGCAGTCAAATCTCCAGTCATATATGCCATTAACCCCAGTGACGGTTAAGTTTAGGGATGGGGTTGAGGTAAGTCATATCTTTTTTTTACCTAGGATGGTAAGGGAACAGTCATAAATGCCATTAACCCCAGTGACGGTTAGGTTTAGGGACGGGGTTGAGGTAAGTCATATATTTATATAACGTTAAGTCAATGGGGTTCATAAACACGCTGAAAGGCGATTATGCGTCTTGATAGCACGCCAAAAATGGAAATACGAATTGGCGTTTCATACACACGCTACTTCATGAGATCAGTCTGATGTAAACGTAGTCAATGAAAATTGGCAAATTGGCAAAGTAGTATCACAGACCAAAACAAAAACAAACATTCCAGCCTGGAAACTCACATTTCAAAGTAAAATAACCGGCTGTAGAAGTGTTTTTCAGAGAAACGAGTATGTGCAACACATTCTCATCCTTTAGCGTCATATAGAACACTATATGACAAAACGGCGCTATACTACGCACATGGCACCCGTTATCGTTAATATAACATACGCTGTGATGGTTCGGTTTAGGTGTGGGGTAGGGTAGGGTAGACTCATATTACGCTAAAGGATTTATGACGCCTTGGGTTCGCGTGAATATTAACGATAACGGGTGCCATGTGCGTAGTATAGCACCGTTTTGTCATATAGCGTTCTATGTGACGCTAAAGGATGAGAACGGGCTGGTATAGTATGTGAACTTAGCATGTTTTGCATATGCAAACATATTATGGTATTTTTATGATTTAGTAGAGTGAATAAGTTTCATTCAACGCCTTTAATCCTCTGATGTTTTTTTCGCAGCTCTTCTGTAGCTGAGGAAAATGGATCCGTCCGCCGCAACACAGCAGTACGGCTCCAAAAAAAGGGTTAAAATTCATCCCAACACCGTCACAGTGAAATACGCCACGCATTTCCCCCAGCCGGGCGACGAGGGGTACGATGACGCTCCGTCCTTTGAGGACTTCAGCTCGTTCATGGACAACAACCCCAACAAGAGACTGGTGTCAGAAAGCGGGCAAGGCAGGACTTTATTCGGCACTATGGATTCCCGTCCCAAGGTCGACCAGAGAGAGAAGGGAGTCGGCGGGCAGCTTGCGAGCTTCGGCGAGGCCTCGGTCCTGGCGTCGCGGGTCACCTGGGGCGCTCTTTTCGGGGCGGCTCTTGCTCACGGATGCGTGGCTCTCATCACGCGCCTGGCGGCCGACCGCTCCAAAGTTCCCTCATTAGAGCTCATCTTCATCCGCTCGGTGATCCAGGTGTTGTCCGTTCTGGTGGTCCTCTACTATAAAGAAGCTCCCTTTGGACCGAAGGGCTACCGACTGCGTTTGTTCTTCTACGGCATTTGCAACGTCATCTCAATCACGTGCGCGTACACGTCCTTCGCCATCGTTCCACCGAGCAACGGCACCATCATGTGGCGGGCGACCACGACAGTCTTCAGCGCCATCTTAGCCTTCTTGCTCTTGGATGAACGCCTGGGCTACACAGACGTAGTGACGGTCGTAGGGAGTCTCTTCGGACTGTGCCTCGTGATGATCCCCAACATCGCGGACGAGGAAAAGTCCCCGTTGGGATTCTGGAAAGAAGCGTTTGGGTACACCATGACTGTAATGGCGGGTTTGACCGCCGCCCTGTCTATGATCGTGTACCGGGCCATTAAAGAGCGCGTTAGCATGTGGGCCGCGCTCTTCACGTTCGGTTGGACGGGGACCGTGTGGGGGGCGTCCACTATGTTCATCATGCAAGAACCCATCATTCCCTTGGACGGCGAGACGTGGGGCTACCTCACGGGAATCTGCATTTGCTCCACCGTGGCGTTTCTGGGTGTCTACTACGCCCTCAACAAGTTCCACCCCGCTCTGGTCAGCACCGTGCAGCATCTGGAGATCGTGGTCGCCATGTTTCTCCAGCTTATCGTGTTGAGAATGATCCCGTCCATGTACGACGTCTTCGGAGCGCTGGTTATCATGGTCAGCGTGTTCGTCCTGACGGGGCTCAAGCTTTACAGGGTGGGCCGGGCCATCCGACAAGATTACCAGGAGATTCTGGACTCACCGATCAAATGAGAGCGTCGTGTGTACTTGAGCGCATGAGGGGGCATGTATATGTGCGTGCGTGCGTGCGTGTGTGTGTCTCCCTGCTCCCTTCTCTTACAATAGTGCAATCACTGAATGTCTGGATTTTCGGCATTTATTTCGAATCGTGTCTTTGGAAGAGTGCCATTGGTGTAATGTCTTTGCTAACTGTTGATGTGTGAAATAAACAGTGATCTATAGTGCTCCCCTGATAGCATTGATTATTTTTTATGTGTGTGTCACTGAAACAAAAGTAAGATGCAGTGGTCTAGATCTATAAACGGCGGGATTGGATATTCTGACAGACAAATCAGACTGCAGCATTGCCATTTCTGCAACACAATTAACTTTGGATTTTTCACTTTTTGTTTTGAGTAGTGAAGCGATACTTTACCCAGCTTTTACTGATCCAACCAACATTTATATTATATTATATTAATTATATGTTATATATTAATTAGGGCTGTCAAATGATTAATCACGAATAATCGCATCCAAAATAAAAGTTTGTGTTTACATAATATATGTGGGTGCACTGTGTATAATTATTTTATATATATAAATACACACACATGCATGTATATATTTAAGAAATATTTTCATGTATATGCAGTATATAGATTTATATATAATTTATATTATATATAAATTAAATATAATATGTATATATATATATATACACACACAGAATAATTATACACAGTGCACCAACATATATTATGTAAACAAAAACTTTTATTTTGGATTAATCGCGAATAATCATTTGACAGCCCTAATCTAAACAAAACCCATGGTAAAATGTTATAAATTGTATTATATTGATTTTCTTCAGTTCTGTCTCGGTATGCCAAGGCGATCGATTCAATCCCAGCCTGAGTGATGGAGGAATATGTAATTTTTGAATAGACCTTTCTCACAACTTCCGTATTTGTGACCGGAAATACGCAATTGGCGTGGTAATCTTCTTCCGCTCCATTCATAACAGATAGCGCCGAAGGCAACTAGTGTGAGAGTTGTTGCGTACCGATCTTTTTTGTTATTCCCAAAAGCAGCCATACCTGTCGTTTTCATTCCTTCCCTCGTCAGTTCCCTGTCGATGAAGTTCGACGGAAATGGATTCAGGCAATCTGGCGGGATGTTATTGATCCTGTGATCTTCTGTACTTCTCATGTCACCATTCACTAATAAGCCGTCATTGTTTGTTTATTTTTTATGATTTGCGTATTTTTGAAGTAACGTTAGTTCATGTTCAACTTTATTAAGATATTTGTATCCAGCGGAATAAGCACATAAAATATACACCACAATAAAACAAGATAAATAACACACAACAGTGGGCTACATATAAATTTAAAATATTAATATATACCATTCTGAGTATTTAACAATCTGAGTGTACAAGGAATAAATTAATATTTGTATAATTTTTCTTCTTTGATCGTTCTATAGCAACAGCAGTGCAAAAAATTCAGGATAACTGTTGAATAAAACTGACAAACTTCTTTCTGGTATTCTCATCAAAATGTAGTTTATTGTAAATAGGCCTACTCCCTAAATATGAATAACTTTCCACACACTCCACCTTCTTACCTTTAATTAACGTATATTGGGAAGAATGAGCTTCAGTTCTAAAATCAATATCATATCTTTGGTCTTAGATAAATCAGCTGCAGACAAACATCACCACAGCATTTTACAAAGTCATCAACAACTGGACCATGACAAGTTTAAATTTTTTCGAAGTTTTGAAGACTCTGATCAATTTTCTCCTCCCAGAGTAGGTTTTTCTGATGTGTTAACAGTTGACGGGAACTCCGTTTCCACAACGATTACGTATTTCCGGTTTTTGTGAAAAAGGTCTATTAGGCGTCATGGTATTTTTTTCCCCTTTTAATCTCATCAGATTTGAAAGGAAACCTCTTTTGATAAGATTACGCAACCACAAATGATGTTTTAATGGTGCAGAGGAAGTTTTTGTCCATGTGACCCATGCAGCCAGCACAACAGAAACTTCTTCACTACAGCACTTATTCAACTCCCTATCTGACATCTGATATTATTTCATCATGATTTTTGTAGCCGTCGTGCACACATTCACAGAGACAGTGTTTTCTAATCTGGTGTCTTCTGATTCTCCATCTATCTCCCTAACAGCTTCCTATATGAAGGCACTAAAACGCCAGTAAATAATATATAACTGTCATCAGGTTGATGGTCTGAGGTCGAATCTCCCACTGTAAATAACCTCAGCTGCTCTACTATATACAGCCTCATTTTCAGAGGCATTTAATAGTATTCATTTTTGTCTATACCTTACCACAAAGGTTACATTTTAGATCGGAGTAATCATTGTTTCCCTCAGGTATGTGAAAGCTGTGGTCATGATGAATCGCTGCTCGGTTTGTTGGCGAGGCCTAGAGGTATTTTTGTAATAAATCTTTTAAAAGGCAGAGCATGCGATTTCTTTAGTGTTCCACAAGGCGGCACTTCGGAGTCAGTTTTCTCTTAAAGGAAAGGTTCACCCAAAATGTATAATGGGGGATTTTAGGAATACAAAACGTGGAAAATGGAGAATTTACGCTGCTCTTTTCAATACAGTTTTTCAAGCTCATAAAAAGGACCCAAAAAAGCACCATAAAATAGTCCACTGTACACTATATTTAAATCTATTGCATGGCTTTATGACTTATTGTGTGTGTTTTTAGTTCAGAATGTTTTGAGAAAAAACAAAGTTCAAAATACAACAGTTAGTAGCCTATTAGTAATTTACTATGAAGTCATCTGAGTTCATTGATTGAATTAACATTCTGTAATGCATGTGTGAATCAAAGAGCTCAGACATCTGATTCCCTCTATTGGGATATTGAAAAGTGCGAGGATGCTGCTGGATTATGTCAACAGTTTTCATGGACAGGAGAGGACACGTACAGTAAAGTCCATCTGTTAGGACAGGAAACAGATTGCATCCTGCAGTGTTGCACACACTTCTCATAATGGCTCTGCCAGCCATGCGTGAGGGACTTTGAATATGGTCATATCAATGTAACTCATTCAGGTTCGTTTTGGAATAAGGTTATTGCACATTCAGAAGGTTGGTCATTATACATATAATACAGTCTGTAATCATATGGTGTAGGGTACAGTTTGGTCCAAAATTATAAACGAGTTCTTTCATTTTTCTGTTTTAAAGGCAGGTGATTTGTTCCAGAAACATTTTTTGTTATGCTGGTTGAAAGTCTCTTCCCATCCTGATAGAAGTTAAGTGGTCTAAATGTATTTATATTTATCATCTGTGGAAGGCGTATGGAGTATGGACCATAAAATGTGTGTCCAATCATTTCATTTGGTCTGAGGATGCCATACCTGCCATATCAGTATCTCCACACACTTGCTCACTAAACATCACACGTCATCAGTGTGTTTTATGCTATACAGAGTTAGACAGACGTCAGTCACCCAAACTGCAGTTCCTCCTGAAGCAAATCAATGAGCTTATGCTGTGTCCATGTCCTAACTACTGTAATTTGAAAGAGATGGAAACCTGTGAGTGACTCGAATATAATGGCAACACTATCAATGTCGAAGTGAATCTGCAGCAGTCAGGTGGTACAGGTCAGTGCTCTTTAAGTTGTTTATGTAAATTATTTTTGTAATGTTATGTGCTTTGAGACATACGGCATCACTCTTTGCTCCCTGCTGTGCGTGTTCATGTGTTTTGAAGGAGGAGTAGGAAGGGTGGGATCTTATGATTTCAAAGCTAACTCGCTATTGCTAGCCGCTCTGAAAATTACCTACCTTAGAGTAACTTACCTTTAAAACAAAGTTTTTCATTACAAATTAAATTGTTAACATTAAAAATATATGTGATAAATCTGTGATAAATCAGATTAAAAAAATGTCAGATTGCCTTTTTTTGTTTAACTGACAGCACTCAAGCTGACATGAACTCCAAAAGTTTGTGTAAAACGTGATAATATAATATAACATAATATAACATAATAATATAATATAATATAATATAATATAATATAATATAATAAATTGAGAAACTGACCTACTACTGAAACTACATTGCCCCGTTTTCAATGTAGCGAGTAGCGACTTTCGGGACTAGCCCAGTATATACAATTGATGGACGTGTGCACTGACCAATGAGCAAAGAGATCTCTTTTGGTAAACCAATCGGTAAGCGAGTATGTTCTAGTTAGCCCCACCTCCTTCATCAGGTTAGATAGCGCAGCAGTGCGGTGAGTAGAGCCGCAGTTCTCACGCTGGATACACTGAGAAAACCCTTACCAGGAACACATCAGTAAATATGTAGCTGAAAAACACCTAAATAGTGCTGATCATCGAGTGTGTGCTGGGTACTTAGGAGGCAGGGGTGCACATCGGATCGTTTAAGGGTAAGATGACAGATATTTATGAGAGTTTATGGTTTGATTGTAGCGTACCGAGCTAAAGCAGTAAATCCGGCGGGTCTACTATAACTTACATAATTATCATTCATCATAACGATAGAAATATAAGAAGAAAGAAACAATCCTAGAAATTTGTCATGGACAAATCAGTGTAATTGTAAGGGGATTGTGTAAAGGCTGTGGTCAGGCCTCACACTGTGATTTAACTGCTTTACCTCCATAGATTGATATTATGGAAAGTGGCCTGATATTGATTCATATTAAAAGGATGAATCATACACAAACTGCCATAGTGTCTAGATTCAACAGGCCTTTTATGTCATTTACTCTGAAATACATTCAAACCACAATGCATTATAGAGGTCTTTGTTAAGGTAAAAGGGTGTTTTTTTGCTGTTGCTCGTTGTCCATTAGCAAGATCATTGTCCATTGCATGTGATTATGATTTTTGACTCTGACATCTGTTTAGATGGGCTGTCTTTATTGTTCTCTGATTGAAGATAATTTCTTTCTGCATGCTGATATATAATGCTACTGTTATCAAGAAAACACTAGACAAAGAAAACCACAAGGCTAGATTGTATTTGCTGTACGCTGTTATCTACTGTGTGAAAAGTTGATCTGATTTGTCATTTCAATGTGGAATTGGTCTTTATTAATCAACTGGTATTTATTGAATGTAATTTTACAGTACCTAATGTTTTTTTTTTTCATTACTTTCACATTGACTTGTGAGTTACGATCAAATTTGTGTGAGATTTCTCAGCAAACGCTGAAGTTCCAGGCAGATCAAAAT